TCCAGGGTGAAGGGAAGGATCATTAGGTTAAATAAGGTGTTATTCATATGTTTGTATTTTGTATTTCCTATTTTATTACTTTTTTGATAAAATAAAAAAAATTACTTGTGGTTTTTTTATTTTTTTTTGTTTTTTTTTGTTTTTTCTTTCCATTCAAAAAAAAAAAAACAAAAACCCGTAACAGTGGTGAGGACTCATGTAGAGAAGAAAAAATAAAACTGCAATAAAGGTCTTCATCCCAATATGTCTTGATTTTTGACTACCATATGCTCGAACTCTTTATTTTGATATCTAGTTTACTTAAAAACACCTACCTACTCCCGGTCATTCATACCCATAGTTCCTACTGCTATTATTCTCTTATATTTACACTACATCTAATAATGTTACACTGGTTATTTTTACTAATTTTTTATTTTTAAAAAAATAATATATATTTAATAAATGAACCACGCAACGGTGCCTCACCTCCTCCTAGTCACATGAAAACGTTGATGCGGTGAGTCTGGTCGTTAACCCCAATTGCCCCCTGGGTTGGAAAGGCTTCTTCCGCAGGCCCCTCTTCACAAGCTGTAATACAATTAATTAATAAAAACACCAGAATGCTCTCTCGCCAACCCCCACACTGCAAAAACGCTTTAATTTGGAAAAAGTGAAATGTGTTCTGCCCGCACGTTGATGATCTCCCTTCACTGCATCGCACCCCCAGAAACCAACATTTCACAGAATTAGGCATTTAAGGGGGGAAATGTTCTAGACACACAATGCAAAGTTTGTTTCCCAATAAATTTTAAAAAACCTGTCAATACACAATAGCAGGTTAAGATCCCACAATAGCTTTCCTAATCAATATTTCACAAACCAAAAATATTTTCCCCATTATATCCTCAAAATCCACCCCCCCCCAAAAAAATCAGTAAAATCCAACTGCTGAAATCTCAATAAAAACCTGCAAACTGCAAGCGAAGGAGGCTGGGCGCGAACCCGCCCGCAGCTTTTCCCACAAACGTGAGAAAACCCGTTCGCTCGCCCAGAACAAAACCCGCGCGGAGGATTCTGGGGGCCGGGCCCGAGGCCCAGGACAAAGAACGGCCTCCCCTGCGCGGCCCCGTCATGGCGGGGACAAAGGAGCCTCGACACCGAGGCCCGAAGAAGGTGTAAGATAATGTGTCAGATCGCCCAGAAGCACCCACTCGCCTCTACGGGCTCCCCGACCCCGCCCAGCGCGGGCTCCCGAAGCCCCGCCCCGCCCCCCGCCCCGCCACGTCCTCACGGTCCTCCGGGGCCGCCACGCGGGGCCCAGGGCGGGCGGGCGGGCGACCAGGGCCCTCCCCGCGCCACGTCTCCCGCGAAGCCACATGCAAACGGGAGGCGGGATCGTGTTTGACATCAAAAATGGGCGCCCGTCCTCGCGTCCCCAGCTCGGGCCCCGCCACCGCTCCTCCCCGAGGACAAAGCGCCCGGAACAAAGCCCGCCCCGGGCTGACGCTTTTTCTGAGTGAAATTCCTTCCCAGCCCCGCACAGCCAGGTGTCCTGGGTGCGAGGGATGAGGGGGGAGAAGGGGGGGACACACCTAAATCCTGAAAAAAAGAAACCTTTAATAGAGCCCCCCCATGTCCTTCAAAGGACCTCTCCTGGCGCCGGC